GTGGGGTGGGGAGGAAGGATATATTGGGAATATAATCGGATATTTTATTGATGCAGGAGGCATCAATAAAAGATTGGGTCTGAGACCACGTCCATGTTTTGAGGATACTTTATAACTCCCTTTTTATTGGGGCCCTTTAGGATGTTGCTCATATCTTTGGCTCCCACTTTTGTCTTGGCATTTGAGATCAGAAGGGGGTGTGCTTCTTACTTATTCTTTACATTAGGGACAAGGAAACCCATTTGTGTTTTGTGCCAGGTTTTGGTGCTTCGTTGAAGAGCCAGTCCATGTTTTTTCATTACTCAGGTTTACTCTTCATCCATTGAGCTCTAGCAAGTGCTGCCCTCTGTAGTTGGGTCTGAAAATAGCTAGGTCACTCCACTGGCTGCAGTGATGGAGTAGGATAGATTAGGGGATGGTCCTGAGCCTGAAAACTCACAATCTTCTACCTGACAGATCTATCGAAGGTGTTGGCTGGTTTTCCGAAAGTCTTCTAGCAAGGGACCTCAGAGGCTGGAAAAGTATCCCGATGAGAAATCAGTGTGTCTTCGAGGTTGCCCAAAGGTGAGTCAGTCACTAACCTCCCTTACCTCATGGCTAAGATGGCTGACCCTTAATCTTTAATGTACCCCCTCCCAAAGTCTAGTTCTGTGGTTCTACCGGGAGCTCCCAACTTGGGGCAGGCTGGACAATGGGGAAGTGTTTCTCCTTATCTGACTAGAACTTGGGATATTCTGGCCACCTTTTTGCCCTGGAGGGAAACATGGATCCTGGGGCTGAGTCTCCTATGGTTTCCATACAGGTGACTGAGATCAGCAATGTGAAATGTGTTACAAGGCTCCCTAAGGAAACAAAGCGGCAGGCTGTGGCCATTATCTTTACTGATGACTCAGCTCGAACCTTCACCTGTGACTCTGGTGAGTGACTGAGGTGGCAGACCTCAGCTGGGGACATGAGGCAGAAGCCATGGAAAGGTTTAGAGCTAAACAAAGTTAGCTTTAGTCAGGCCCAGAGTTGAGAATCTTGAAGTCCTCAGAATAATGGAATCCTGAAGAGGATGTAGCCTTTTGCTCTTAACTATAAAGACTAGATTCCTCATGAGAAGAGCCAGGTGACCATCTTATAAAACTTGGGGCTTACTCTCTTGGTGAGTGGATATGGAGGGGTAATGTTATTCTATTATTATAGTAATTCAAATAAGGAGTCCTCTTTCTTCCTCTAAGGGGAAACTGGACAAAGCAGAAAATACCATTTGGTAGGATGGTGGTAAGGTAGAGCAGGTCCCCTTTGAGAGATGTGAAGTGCCTTCTCCATGGTTGAATTCTTGGGTGGCAGGCTCCAGTGCACAGGGATAGGAAGTACAGATGGATATGCTTGATAAATGCTCAAACTTATGTTTCAGAGCTGGAAGCTGAAGAGTGGTATAAGACATTGTCTGTGGAATGTTTAGGTGCCCGGCTCAATGACATCAGTCTAGGGGAGCCAGACCTCCTGGCTCCGGGAGTACAATGTGAACAAACAGGTAAAGTATGGGGCCTGGGACACGTGGGTTTGAAGTTTGAGGAAAGTGTCTGAGAGAGAGAGGAGACTTTTCCATCCAACTACAGTTCCATTTTCTTTCTCCTTCCATCCCCCCTCACTAGATCGATTCAATGTCTTCCTGTTGCCCTGCCCCAACCTGGATGTCTATGGTGAATGCAAACTACAGATCACCCATGAGAATATCTACCTCTGGGACATGCACAACCCCCGTGTAAAGCTTATCTCGTGGCCACTCTGCTCTTTGCGCCGCTACGGCCGGGATGCTACACGTTTCACGTTTGAGGCTGGCAGGTAGGGCTTCAGATCTTCTAATCCCACCTCGGGAAACCAAGAGACCATCTTTTTATCCTCCATCTACTTACATTTCTGACCAGCATCCTACCAAAAGCATTTTGGTTCCAGAGCCAAGGAGATAACTTCAAGGGGCTGGGCTCTGCTGTGGTTTTCAGAGGGCCTGTGGATTAAGGATTTATGATATGGGGGGGGGGGGGGGTAGCAGTATTAATTTGGTTGTGAATAAGCAGAAAGCAAGCCTGTGCCATAGGTGATGCATGTTAGCATGGCATGTGTATGTACATTATATATGTGTACACTTCTGGTCCCCACCACCCTTCCCATAGCTCTAGTGCTGTCCAACAGGATGTGTGATGCAGGTGAAGGGCTCTACACATTCCAGACACAAGAGGGGGAGCAGATCTACCAACGAGTACATAGTGCCACCCTGGCGATCGCTGAGCAGCACAAACGGGTTCTACTGGAGATGGAGAAGAACGTGAGGGTGAGGCCCAGAGTGGGAAGCTGGAGAAGAAGGGGACTGAATTGACAGGCAAGGGAGGCCAGCATGCTTTTGAGACATCTTTCTGTCCCGCTGAGGCACAGCCTCCTATGTTAGTGTAACAGGAAAAGCATTAGGCTTAGAATCAGATTTGAGTTCAAGGACTTCTGCCACTTACTAATAAGATCTTAGATAAGTCCTAACCTTTCTAGGCCTTAGTTTCCTCACCTGTAAAATGAAGTGGTTGAACTATATAATCCCATAAGGTCATTTCTGACAGTCAGTGCCTTTTCGAGTCCCTCCCTCTCTGTTGCTTGATCCTGTGCAGATGCCAGGTCAGATTCCCCAGGCCATCTCTGCCATGTCTTGTCCTCCTAGCTCCATGATATTAAGTTAATGGCCTTCCTCTTCTGCCTCAGCTGCTGAACAAAGGGACTGAGCACTATTCCTATCCGTGCACACCAACCACCATGCTGCCCCGGAGTGCCTACTGGCACCACATCACTGGTTCCCAGAACATTGCTGAGACTTCCAGCTATGCTGGTAAGTGACTTCTTCTGCCTTGCCTATCCTCTCTGAAGCATTCATTATCTCAATTATTATTGGCAATTATTTTTGCCCTCCCAGTAGGAGCTACTTTAGGCCCTATGTCCCCCGTGACCTCAACTTTAAGTGTCACAGAATGCCACCCTTAGTCTACCTTTCTGTCCACAGGTGAAGCATATGGAGCTGCTCAGGCAAGCTCGGAGACTGACCTTCTCAACAGATTTATCCTGCTGAAGCCAAAGGCTGGTACAGGAGAGAGCAAGGAGGCCAAAACGGCTTCCCAGTGATGCTGAAATAGCTCATGTCATCCCAAGGGAGGGACTGGCAGCACACTGAAGGCTTCTTCCTTCCTGGCCCCTCTCCTCTCACATTTCTCCCCAGGGGGGCAGATGACCCAGGACCCTACCCTACAGAAGGACAGCCTGGAGAAAGCGAGTGGGATAGATGCCTTTTCCTCAGCTGAGGGACAGGCCTGGCCCAAAGAGAGGGCCCATTCACTTCACCAGAGCATGCATGAGGGGCTAGAGCAACCAAGGGACTGTATGTGGTTATGATTTTAATATATATTGTTACATAATTCTACATTAATGGGATTTCCCCCCTTTATCTTTGCCCTCCCCACCCACAAATGCAATTTTAAGATCTGGTGACCAGTGGCTGGTGTCTTTGGAGCAGCTGCTCTCCTGTTGTCTGTGGAAAAGCCTACGAGATCCCAGAACCTGGAAGTACTCTGGAATGAGGATTTGAACCCAAGCAAAAGCAGGCATCCAGTAGCCTGGCTATACCTGAGCAGGCCCAGGCAGAAGCAGCTAGCCTTAGAACTCCCATCCAGGGTCCTAGTAGGATGGCACAGGAAGATGGCATCTTGGTTGTGCCAGTAGCAAATTTTGTACTGTGACACATCTGGTGACATCTTTCTCTCTAAACTGCAATTTCTGCACAAACCCCTTCCTGCCTGTTGGGCTGGAGGGGTCAGTGACCATTATCTTACCCTTTGAGGAAGAGGCTGTGGGAAAGGAGGGCGAGGACCCTGATTGCTTCTGACCCAGTATACTGCCCTAAAATCAGGTTTAGGAAGGAGGCCTCATGTCCTCCAAGTCAGATTATGACACAGTAAGGAGGCAGGGTAGCATTCCTAAGGCCCCCCTTCTCCTCTCCTGCCCCAACACCTCCCTGGGGAGTACCTCTACCACTTGTCCTTTTCTTTCACAGGACAGGAGGCTTCCCACTTGACATGGGGCCGATGCTGCTGAAATGCAATTAAAGCAATTGATTTTCTAGTGCTGGTATTTATTTGACTACCGTGCAGAAGGGCTATCTTTCTATTCACATGGAACCTTTTTTTTTTTTTAATGTTTGTGGTCCTGATTTGGGGAGTTGAGCTTCTTGTAAATATTTATTTCAGTTGAGGCAAAAGGCAGACTAAAAGAGAAGACCCTCCCACCCAAATCCAGGAGCAAGGGAGGTAGCCACTGGCCCAACTTTCCTCCTTGGTTTCATTCAATTTCTCTTCTCTTTGAGGAACAAATCAGATTTTGCTTGTGAAGATGGGGGGGTGGGGTGGGGATGGGGGCAAATGCTCAGTCTAAAGGCCTTGGAGTGGTCTGAGGTAGCAGAGCTACCTGGGTTGGGCTAGGGCAGAATGATGCATGGAGGAAGTAGGACAGAAAATTATGTGCTGTGTATTGCCAAAAATGATTTTTTTTTTTAAAAAACCTGCTCATCAATAAAGGACCCTTACTATCTGATTTGCTTTCTGATTTGTTACCCAACTATCCCCTGATGTACTTTCCTGTGGAGCCAGTGATATGCAGTCAGGGCTAACCCACCCTCATCAAGAAAATACTGAAGGATGCTTGTTTTCTCTTCTCAACTAAGTGATCAAGCTACAGGTAGAGGAGTTTAGGGTTGAGAAGGCAGTGGGCCTATGCTGGGGACTGGTAAGAAATTAACAGAACACTTCAAAACAAACCTAGGAGAAAACACCATTCTCAATAAAGGCTCAAACCCAGCCAGGTGAAGCACTACCAGAGAATAAGTAACTCACTGGAAGACTGGGCCTACAGTCTGGGGCAGAGAATTTTTCCTGCTGCTGCTAACAAAGGTGCAACAGTGGAGATGTACTTAAGGCCCAGTATAGTCTTAAGGCTGTTTATGACAAGGATTTAATAAAGATGGACCTACTCACCTCATCCTCCAGAATATTTGCTGATGCCCAGGGGGAAAAGGTTTTTTATTTTCAGTTCATACTAAGGGAACAGACCAACCCAAGGAGACCAGGACTCCCTGTGGGGAGTGAAGCCTCCCATCTCTCCTTCCCATGTCATCTTCCCAGGCTAATTACATCCCAAACGGGCAACCAGTTTAAAAGCTGCAATGTGCTAGCCAGGACTTTGAACCAACTAAATTTTAGTCCACTTTTCAGTGGCAAGCAGAAGCTCAGGCTAGAAGTCCATCCATTTTCCTCGAGTCCCATTTCTGGTAGAAATGACTGCTGCTAGTTTATAGTCAGGACATCACTCTGGATCTCATGGGTTAGCTGGGTCTGGAGGTCACTCAACTTCTTCTTCAAACCAGACAAAGCAGAAAGGACAATGGTTTCAGGGCGAAGAGAGCCACAGGACTCCACGTTGTAGTAGAACCTGGAACGAGGTCCAAAGGAAAGGCGGAGACAGACTGTAAATGCTCCTTTGTGCTGTGACTTAAATTCCTGAGTTCGGGGCTTATCCCTACTCTACTCTCTATCACCAACTAACCCTTAACAGTCAGGGTCAATCCTCCACACCTAATAACATCAGGAAGACAGAATCTCTACATAGTTATTCCTAAAACTTTTTATATCACAGGGCATCTGTTACACTTCAGTGTGGATTAAAAAACCTTAAAATAAATATATGCCATTTAAAATTTTTGAAGGGGAAAGGATATCATAAAATCATTACCTTCTAAAACCTGCTTAAAAAGGCAGCTCACTGGGAACATGGATTAAGCAATCTGGGATGACTAAGGGGCCATAGTGCCCCCAAATCTGCAAGAGTTCTGATAATTGATGTCAGCTGCAACTTTCTACAGATTTAGGTCTGGGTCACTAGGTACTGACACAAAGTAAGAATTTTCTCCTTTGGTACTTATCTCATGCAAAACTCTACATCCCTACTGCCACAATACAGAAGCCACCAAAATGCAAGGTTAGATAGATTGGCCAGTATTGTTAGAAATAACCCCAGATGTCTGACAGATCTTACCTCTCTGGTTTGCCATTGGGGTCATAGGGAGCCTGGGCTTCATCCTCGTCAATCTCAGAATATTCACTCTTTGGCCTGGGATGATCAAGGAAAATGACAGCACAAAATTCATTTAAATGCTTTATAGGAAAACTAAGAAGTTGCAAAATACAGGGGCATATGGGCATTCTTTGCATGGCAGATTAAATCCAAGTGTTTTAACACAGATTCTTCTCTTTGAGCCTAGTTATGTTAACTTGCTGAATAAGTTTATTCTATTGCAGTACAACAAATATGCTTTACTTACAAACTAATGTGGAATCAAGGAGACCAGTGGTTCTCAAAATTTTTTGTTCTTAGGACACCTTTACAACATTATTGAGGACCCCAAAGAGTTTTTGTTTGAGTTACATCTTTCAATATTTACTGTATTAGTAAATTTACTGTACTACCACTCTACTGTACTACAATTATTTACTGTACTATCAATTATTTGCTGTATTTACTGTTTGACTTTGCAGACCCCCTGAAAGGGTCTTGGGGACACCCAGGTCTCTGGATCACGTTCTGTGGGACTGCTGAAGTAGACAAAAAAATACATTCAGAGTATACACAGAATGGCTTGTGGATATGAGGGTGGAGGTTAGAAGATCCTAAAGACAGGTCTATGAGCCTTTGTAATTGTTACATTTGACATCTAAATAAGAAGTGAACCAAGAAGGAACAGAACAGATCTCAAAGTCCACATCCCCTTTTCCTTGTAAGCATTCCACCTCTACTCGGAAGCAGAACATACCATTCTTCAGGCTTTGGGTAGACTGTATGCCTCAAGGCATTATCTGGGTCATACTCAAAGGCCACTCCAGCTGTAGGGTTCCACTTGGCATGCTCCTTGCCAAAGCCTTTTTTAGCATAGGCTCGTAGTCTCAGCTCCTGGCCTTTCCGGAGTTTGACAATGAGGATATCTACGGAGAATAAAAACCTAGGTCAAGAAAGGTAACTGGAGATGCCAGATTCCAGATGTTGGATCAGACTTGTAGCCTAAGGAACATAACCTGAAAGCAAGATTACCCTGAAAACCGGCAATAAGAAGCTATATTTGTTCCGTTTCCATTTACCCTACCAAGATATGCAAGAACAGGTATTTAACTCTTACACAAGCCACTTACCATCCTGTTCCACATAGTCATTGGGATCATTGTCTCTACTCCGGGATGTCACCTGAAAGGCACCCAAGATGGAGATTAGCTGTTCTTCTCTTATTTTTGGCTTGTTAAATGATTTAAAGTTTTAATTGTCTAAGTGATGACTACAGAAAGGTAGGACCTAAGAATGGCATGGTAGGAATAGTTAGAAGGATGTACCCATGTTAGTGACAGGGAGAACAATTCTAGTCTAAATTTGCTGGCACTTTTAAGGGCTCTCCCCACAGGAGGGGCATAGTGCATTTGGACCAAGAATTAGTACCTATACAGTTCCTGCCCGGCATTAACAAGGGTCCAAGATCAGTAAATTGGTTATCAGCTAGGTGAAAAAATTCCAGTGTTACAAGCAATGAAGAATTTATCACAACTTCTGAGTGGGAGCTTACATGGTAGAAGAAGTCTATGTAAGGGGAGGAGGTGATTAGACACTGACCGGAATAACTCGGGGAGTATTAGAAATGAGATCCCGAGATGTGACATGGCGTGTCTGATCCTCATTGCAACGGACATCAAGTGTAAACTCTACTGAGCACTCAGGACAAAATTCTTCACATGCACAGTCCTAGAAGAGGACAAAGAATAGAAATAAGTCTGAAGTAAAAGAGCTAGGTCTGGATTTTGCATCTTATATCCAACACCAATTCCCTTAAGTTTCTAAATTCATAAAATAGTACAATCACAGAATTTCAAAGACATTTTTTGTGTACGGTATTGATCTGATGTTATTCTTTTGGGCTGATAGACAGTCTATGACTCAAAAAATGATAGTTATATAGGAAAGGCAATTCTTTCCCCTCACCATTACCACGTCTCTCTCCTCCCCTGTACTAGTGTAGGCACCACCATGGATACACAAGAATCTCTGGTTATATCCTAAGACAGAACTCCAAATATTTATTTTCCCATAAAAACAATGTTGTAAATGGGAACGAGGTCTCATGGTACTACTTCATCTTTATTATGTGTTCAAAAGGCTTTTCTAGGCTAGCCTGTATATCCAACCATCATTTATTTACAACACGGTTTCTATGGAAAAGTTAATTCTATGCTCCAACCAAATGATTTAATACAACCTATATATAAACTACAGCCAGCCTATATAACAGGCAGCTGCTGAATAGAAAATCTAAACTGGAAAATTTCATTGAGGGGCCTAACTCTCCATATGCACATACCACTCCCTTATTGGTAACTTAACATTCACATTGCATTTAGCCTGACAATCAAGGTAATAGGATCCTTCAGAGAAGAAAAGTTTCTCAAACCAGAACTAGTATAGAAAAGTATTTTATTTATATTAGCAGAACTTGTCAAGTACTGTTCCCCCCTATACCTCAGTCCTTTACTTTGTCCCCTGCCCATTCCTTTACCATTACATACAGATGTCTTCTCAAATATCTAACCAACTTCACAAAGACAAACTTATCTCTTCCTAAAAGGATAAACAAGGCAAGATGTTACTACTGTTCCCTTTTTCACAACAATTTGGAATTAAAGAACATGAGGTGGTTGAGGGGAAATGGGGATAGTAGAATGAAAAAGCTTCAGAATTACTATGATGTAAAACTGGACAACTGAATGCAATCTAAGAGCTTGAAAGTATGTTATCAGGGAAAATACTCTCTGGTAATCAAACTGAATAGGTTATAATCTTACCCTGGAGTATTGCAGCTTGTCTACAATGTCATCACTTGTAAGAGGGATTAATCCTGGAAAAAAACAAAGCAGTGTTTCAAGTAGACCAAAAACTCCTCAGAAGTCAGGGAGCTTGCTCTCGTATCTTTCTAAGACACAAGCTGGCATCCCTTCTCCCCTATATCTCGTGAACTTAACACTTACCAAGTCTGTGGGCAATGAACTCATCATGCAGTACCGACGAGTTGGCATCAATTTGGACCCAATCTATGGCTAAAGGAAAAAAAAAAGGCAGAAATGCAGTTGAGTCACACTTACACTGAAGAGACAGGGAACAATTAAGCAGATAGTAGTGAGACCTTTGTGCTGATCCTTCAGGAAGGAAGATCAAAGCTTGTTCATTATACCAATATGTACCATACTGTCCTTTGCAAGTCAGGCAGCACTGAAATGAACTGGAGGCTGCCTTTTTTCAAAGCTCTCTAAAATCTGTCCCCATGTTATGCACAGAGCATCATCCAGCCTTATTCAAACCTCTCATATGTACTCCCTTTACTCTAGCTAGAGTGGTCTCCTCATTGTGACCTTCACAATCCATGCTCAATGTGTCTTTGTTTTATTTTGTTCATATTAAACGACCCAGCTCAAGTCCTACCTCCTGAAAACTCTGACCTATAATGACCTCCTTTATCCAAACCATATTTCACTTAATGCTTGTATCACATGGTTTGGTACTTTTTAAGTCAATCTGTCAACAAGCGTTTATTAAATGCCTATTATATGCCAGACATTATGCTAAACATTACAAGCTTAACTGTTAAATAAACATGTATGTTAAATGTTAAAAGTTGAAAGGAAGAGGCTATCATTGTGGACTACAGTGACTAGGGAATACTTGATGGAGGTACTTCCAGTCAGAACAAAGAATACATATGTGTACATATATACATACCAAAAAAAGCTTTATCAAGGTCAGAGTCTTTCAGACTACTTATTCCTTTGTTCTAACTATTCCTAATCAGCCACATATAAGCAATTAATTGAACATTAGGCCCTGTGGTGTAAAAAGTGTAAAACATAGCCAGTACCTCCAACTTCAAAGATTCCTTCCAGTTTCTATGAGTCTAACAACAGTTATGTCAGCTGACAGTTAGTTATATGGCAATTTTAGGTTTACAGAGCACTTTACATACATTATCTTATTTAATCTACCATATGAATGAGGCATCATGCTATGAGATAAATCCTATAAGAGACCCTGCTCTCAAGGAGCTTAAAACCAAAAGAGGGTGGAGAAAACACAGAGGTGGTTGTTGGTGCTGAACTCTAAGTAAGAGCATGAGGAAAAGGCTACAAGGATTTTGAGGAAGGTGAGATCACATTCAGATGGAAAAGGGCAGAAAGAATCAGAAAATGTCATGGAGTAAGTAGTATCCAAGATGGACCTTGAAAAAAGAGGGGGCATCAACAAAGATAAAAGGGGTGCAGGAGGAGGAAGAAGAGTGCCTTTTAGGCAAGGAAAGCATGAACAAAGCATGGAGAAGGGTGCAGGCTGAGAAGGATGAGGACAAGGAATAGTTCAATTGGTTAATAAGATAAATGAAGTTTCCAACGCCCCAGCTTCTACACCACCTCCACATCCGTGTGACCCTGAGCAACTCATTTCACCTCCTGTGCCTCAGTTTACCCAGCTGCAAAATAGAGGTCAAAAATAAAGACACTACCTACCTACAGTTATCACGAGGAACGTGCTTTGCAACCCCTAAAACCTAGGGAAATGTGAGGAATTCTTTATTATTAAAATACCGAGGGGCAAGGGAGGGGCGCGAGTTACCATGGCAGCGAGGCCGCAGGCTTACCTATGATGGGCACCTCGGCGATGAAGACTCTGCGGATGGAATTGGCCACTCTGCGGGGAGGAGGGAACCAGAGGCTAATGAGAGAGGGTCCCCGAGCCCGGTCTTCCCCGTCCCCCCCCCCCGGGGACATCCCAGCCGAAGACCCTTCCCCACAGATCCCAGAGCGAGGAAGAAGCCCCCGCGCCCTCCCGGGGCTGTCTGGGCGCCCCAAGGCGCTAGCTCCTTACGCCAGGTCAGTATTCTCGATGATGAACTTGACGTTCTCGTCCGTGAGCTCGGTGATCCGCACCGTGGGCTGGTTGGCATACGGCATCGCGACCCGAAACAGCCCCCAGCCCCCACGCTCGGCCCTCGGCTCTGCGCTGCACCCAACCAACTCCGCGCCGCCGCTGACGTCACCGGATGCCAGGAAGAGCGGCCCCGCCCCCTCCCTTCCCTCGCGCCGCCTAGAGCCCACAGTGCCCCCTCGCCCTAGGAGGAGCAACTACAGAAGGCGCAGACTGGATGTGAAAGGCGAGAACCCAAGCCAGCCACAGAATCTCAGAATTTACGCATCCAGTCCAACTCCCTTGTTTCATACATAAGGAAACTGAATCTCAAAGTAGGAAGTGTCCAAAGTCACACAAATAGTAAGTAGCAGTCAGAATTTAAACCCGAATGGTCTTGACATTATACTTTGCTTTTATATTTGCTTTTGTGTAACTGGTGACCTCAAAGATTCCAGTTATCCCTATAAACAGACTTCTCTAAATATCCAGCCTTAGCCTCTCTCTTGAACTCCAGTCCCACAACATCAACTGGCCCATAAAATATTAAAACTGGAAAAGACCTTTGAAATCATTGAATTCAATTAATCAATAAATAATTAAGTTAAACATTCAAAAATTGATGTCCTATAGGCTTCTCAAACTCAACAGGTCCAAAACAGAACTTTTAATCTTTTTTCCCTCCCAAAATCCATCCCTCTTCCAAACTTCCCTATTTTTTGTTGGGGTCTTGTCTAATCACCCAGATTCAAAACCTTTGTTCATCTTCTGTCTTCTGTTTCCCCAAATAGCCAATCGATTGTCAGGTCTTGTCAATTATAGCTCAACAACATCTCTCAAATTTACCATCTTCTCTCTACTCACATGGTCACTACCTTCAGCACCTCTTGCCTGGACTATTAAAATAATCTACTAATTGATCTTCCTCCTTCTGGTCCCTCTCCTCTATCCACTCTCCATACAACTGCAAAAGTGATATTCCTAAATTGTAGTTCCAATTGGCCAATACTGCTAATTCCTTCCTTCCTTCCTTCTTTCATCCTTCCTTCCTTCCTTCTTTCCACTACTACTACTACTACTACTACTACTACTACTACTACTACTACTACTACTACT